TTGGCCAGGCTAGCCTTGAACTCCTGACCTCAGGTGATTCACCTGCCTCGGCCTCCCAAAGTGCTGGAATTACAGGCATGAGCCACCACGACTGGCCCAAGAATCTTTGTTGAGGACTGGTCATGTTAAAGAAACTAAGGTGAAGCAAGTAAGTGTGTCATTGTTTTAAAAAGTACTACATTCACTTGTGAGTAGCAAATTAATTTCAACAAAACGATATCATCTACACTTTCGTGTAATACTGTTAATCTAAATTTCATTGGTTTGAAGGTTTTTTTTGTACTTAACTCAGTAAAATTTGTTTTGCTTTATATGTATACAAGCTTTAAGGAAAAGAAAGTTAATTAATTAATTAATTATTTTTGAGACAGGGTCTCATTCTGTCACCCAGGCTGGAGTACAGTGGAATGATCTCAGTTCACTGCACCCTCCACCTCCTGGTCTCAAGAGAGCCTCCCACCTCAGCCTTCCAAGTATCTGGGACCAAAGATGCGCTCTGCCACATCTAGCTGATTTTGGGGTTTTTTTTAGTAGAGACAGGGTTTTGCCATTTTGGCCAGGCTGGTCTTGAACTCTTGGGCTCAAGTAATCTGCCTGCTGTGGCCTCCCAAAGTGCTGGGATTACCGGAGTTAGCCACAGCACCTGGTTGGAAAAATACATTTAAATTGGAGTTTTATATTTGTACATTTTGAGTATCTTTAACGTAAAATTTTTGTTTATATTTATTTATAATAAAATAGGTCTCGGCCTGGCACGGTGGCTCACGCCTGTAATCCCAGGACTTTGGGAGGCCAAAGCGGGCGGATCACAAGGTCAGGAGATCGAGGTCATCCTGGCTAATATAGTAAAACCCTGTCTCTACTAAAACTACAAAAAATTAGCTGGGTGTGGTGGCGGGCACCTGTAGTCTCAGCTACTCAGGAGGCTGAGGCAGGAGAATGGCATGAACCCAGGAGGCGGAGGTTGCAGTGAGCCAAGATTGTGCCACTGCACTCCAGCCTGGGTGACTGGAGTCAAGAAAAAAAAAAAAAGGTCTCAACCAAGGAGTTATGAGAATTTTAGTCCTTTAAAAGTTATCAGTAGATGACACAGTTTTAAGAATCTCTGCTTTTGAGGGAGATTTCCCCAAATTAAACAACCAAGTGACGTCATGGAATAATACAGACTCAGGGTCAGAACAAGATTACAGTCTCAGCTTTCCCACAAAATGTCTTTGTGACCTTGAGCCAGTCTTTTCCACTCTCTGGGTTCAGTATCTTTACTGGCAAGTGAGAGTGTTGGACCCTATGATGTTTACAGATCATTCCAGCCCTGCCCTTCTGAAATCCTGGATTAGACAATATGGGATGAATTCCAAAACATTTGTGAAAAAAAAACCTCTTAAATCCAAGTGTCACATTGCCCCCTTCTGGACCTTTGTAGTATCCACATGGATGAGATTGATAAAATCCATAAAAATAATAAAAACTCATAATAAATCACAAATGTAAAAAACCCATAATAAACCCTAGATGGACCTGTGAAATAGCATAGTCCAATTCCCTTTCTCCCCTGAGATAACCTAGAAAGTCACATTTGAAGGTGCTCTACTAGAAGTGTTAGAGGACAACCCAGGAAAGGAAAAAGGGCAAAGGGTAGTCAAGTTGTAGGAAACACAGGGATGTGGAAGGCGGGCTGAATTGAAGAGAGTTTTACACAGTTCTATCTCCAGCTATTCCCCCAGTATAAGAAATATTGTTAGCTATCTATTATCAAGTGCCTATTATGTGCCAAGAACCAATTCTTTTATTTTATTTTTTATTTGTATTTATTTATTTATTTATTTATTGAGACAGAGTCTCGCTCTGTCTCCAGGCTGGAGTGCAATGGCGCGATCTTGGCTCACCGACACCACCACCTCCCAGGTTCAAGCAATTCTCCTGCCGCTGCCTCCCAAGTAGCTGGGATTATAGGCATGCGCCACTACTCCTGGCTAATTTTGCATTTTTAGTAGAAACAGGATTTTTCCATGTAGGTCAGGCTCATCTTGAACTCCTGACCTCAGGGGATCCGCTTTCCTCAGCCTCTCAAA